GGCGGGCCGCTTTGATCCTGCCTTTCGGGGCCAACCTGTGCTGAGACGGATATGGCATCTCCACTGTGAAAGGTTGAGATATTAAACCAAATGCACTTCTTCCACCGGAGAAGCGAACGCATGTCTATAGCATGTAACGGCGAAGAGTCTTTAACCATTACTACACAGACACAAGTTATTTGGGTTCGGGCTTTCTTTGAACTCACGCTAGTCTTCCTCTTCAAGTTCAAGTAGTGCCAAAACTGAAACGGACATCGGCGATCAAGGTTCGCCATTCATTTCATTGCTCGAGTGTTCTCAATGAAAAAGAAGACTCACCCCCCCCCCCCCAAAAAAAAAAACTCCACAAAAAAAAACAACAACAAACAAACAAAACAAACTCAAACAACCCAAATCCAAACCAAACAAACAAATATATATATTTAAAATCCTTATATCATCCTGGACTTTTCATATGCGTATACCATAAAAGCAGTTGAAAAGCGAAAATAAACTAAATCCTTCTCCTAGGCCTATCCTCCTCCTATTTCCCTCCTCGCATCTTCCTCCCATTACCCTCCTCCACACCCTCCTCAGCTCCTCTCATCAAGCATTCTCATCGCACCTAACCCCCTCCTCCTATTTCCCCGAATCCCGGAGTGCTAATGACGTAGCGTTACACCCACTGCCCCTCCAGTACACCAGAAGCAGCTAGTCACACAGACTTCTTACAGCAACTGACCCGCACTGGATCGATGGCAGCTAGGGATCTGATTTGATCGGGAGAGGAAATGACCAGTGGTCAAGCGATGGTCTGGTTGCATTTTTCACGATTCTGAACAACGAGCGAATGTTGAAGGCAGGAGGTATGAGTATGAGTGGTAGAAAATGGGAAAAGGAGTAGGTGTGAGGGCATGTTGTAGCAGTGACATGAGAAAAAGATTGAATTAATGAATGGCTGAAGGAACGAGAGAATAAAGGAAGGAATAAATGGATACATGAAGGAATAAAGGAATCAACAAGTTAATGCTTGAAAGGATGGGTGAATGAATGAATCACATAAGCGGATAAATGAATGAACGGGGGAATGAATGAAAAACAGAATTTCCATGGTCTGTTGAATCTTTAAGCAACAAGAATTTCACAAAATAATGTACGTGTGTACACATTACGTATTATAAACAATATCTCTGTCGCAAATACTTGACAAACGCATCGAAACGATTTAAATCTGTAAGGAGGCAGGTTGCTTTAACCCTGATTGCCAGGATACACTCAAACACACACACACGCACACACACATACACACACACACACACACACACACTCACACACACACACACACAAACGCACACACACATTCACACATACGTGTGTACGCGTGTGCAGACGCAAATACATACACTCAAACACACACACACATCTACGCACATACATAAACAAAGTCACTCACACACACACACACACA